AAATCCCCATGGGAAAAGCTCATTTTCTGGGGGGGCTTTTCCCCCTTCCTGTTCTCTTAACGCGATGGCGGCCATTGTTTCCGTAGAGCTGTTTGCTCTCCCGCTCGCTGACCTGGGGCATCCCGCCGGGTGGGAGGGACCCTCCCGCCAACCAGTCCGCGACCTGCAGCGCCGATGAGTTTGCACACCGGGGCTACTGCTGCAACCGGTGCCACCCAGGTAAGCCGCGCAGCCTCTCGACGGTATCGCTCTCCTCGATTCCCAGCATCCTAAGAGCAGTGGCTCAGGCGGGGGAGCTGCGGAGGAACAAGTGATAGGTTTATTCCCTGCTGGGGGAAAAAAAGGAAGACAGAACGCAACGTTTCGGCCCTGGAGCCTTCTCCGGGCATGAGCTTTCCTTCTTCTGCGTTGACCTGATTGTTCGCTTGATCCTCTTAACATCAAAATTTGTATCCTAGGTTATTTTTAGGTTATCTGTCTAGTAAGTAAAATTCAGCTTAAAAGTTTTGCCGAGTACAATTCTAAATAACTTCTTGCAAGTCGCTATACTATCGTGTAAGAGTTACAAAGGAGAGGAGACCATTCAGCCTGTTTTGTTAGTTGGGGCCGTGTCTTGCCCATCACCTTCTTTCAGGTCGTAGATAATAATAATAATAAGTAATAATTGCTTACATTTATATAGCGCTTTTCTGGACACTCCACTCAAAGCGCTTTACAGGTAATGGGGACTCCCCTCCACTACCACCAATGTGCAGCATCCACCTTCTACCTTCTTCAGCATCCATCTAGGTGGATTAGCATTAATGCTAATCCACCTAGATGGGGGATTAACGTTAATGAACGGTTGGGCAGCTCTTTCCCAACCCTCACACCCCTTGGTGTCGCCTGTTCTGTTCACTACTGTATCCATCTGCAAGTCTCTCTGCGGCACATATCCTTTTTGTGGCGCCAGTGAGCCGAGTCTGTCGGCGGTATCTGTTAAGCCCTCCTCCTCTTCCCCGGTCTCTCAGGGTTCCGGATGACGAAGGCTTGCGCGGGGGCGGGCTTGAGGACGACGTGCGAACCCTGCAGCAATGGCACCTACCTGGAGCTGAGCAACGCTGCCACGAAGTGCATCAGATGTCGAAAGTGTGAATCGGGTGAGTCTCAGCCCGGGGATCCCGGCTCAGCG